GGAGAGACTACTAGCCACTCGTTTTTCCCCGGTGACTAGGCAGTTGGAGGTTTTGCTTCAGTGGCGTCACTTGCCGGACTTTGAGGCTTCTTGGGAACTTTTCGATGTCATTCAACAACAGTTTCCTGAATTTCACCTTGAGGACAAGGTGACTTTTTTGGGGGGCGGAGTAGTCGATAAGGCTGATAAACCGTTGCTTAGACAGGTTTATGTTAGGAAAGGGAAGAGGGAGTGACGTGGAGTTAGGAGTGTCGTTAGTAGTTAGTTAGCTGAGGATTGTACATTGCGGGGGGGTACAGGGGGGGTTGTCGTGAGGAAGGAAGAGTAGGGAATAAATAGGCCAGAGGTGGGATTAGAGAGCTAGGAAATTACTGGAGTCTGTTTGGGAAGTCTTGGCTAAGGCTGAGCAAGGGTGTGAGAGAGTATCAATAGATTAGTCTGTAATTCGTTTGGTTAATCAATAAAGATTACATTTTCATTCTTCTTGATTCGTTTCTGTGGGAACAATACTCTGTTCTTATCATTTACCTCCAGCTCTATGTTCTTCCACCACTTCATTTGCAATCAACACTCCATCCAAAATTTGTCTTCCCTTAATGAATGCACTCTGGCTCTTAGAAACTGTCTCCCCAATAAATTGTCTCAATCGATTCGCCAAAACTTTTGCAATGATCTTGTAAAGGCTCGAGGCAAAAGTAAACGGCCTAAAATCCCTTATTTTCCTCGAGTCCTCTTTCTGTGGAATGAGACATAAAGGGTTTGTTTCGTTCAACAACTCAAACTGTGGAGATTTGAACCTTTTTGGTTAGAAGTGTATAATATGAAATGTAGAGTACGTTTGGTTGATGGATTCATAATCATGATTCAGAACTATTCTCAATTTACGTGTGTTTTTTGTAAGAGAAAACACTGTGTTTTTTGTAAGAGAAAACACTGTGTTTTTTGTAAGAGAAAACACTGTGTTTTTTGTAAGAGAAAACACTGTAGCGAGCCACGAACCATAATTCGAACTATGGCACGAATCCTTTAATCAAACGCACTCGTAGTGATTCAAACTGTGATCCGAACTGTTGTTTGGACATGTAAATAAATTGTAATTTGAATTGAGAATAAAATCTGAACTGTGTTTGGATAAAGTGTTGAAGACTGTCATTGGAGTTTTGTAACAAATCTTATAAAACCTCATTATAAATGACATTAAAAAATATGCAATAAGGGTGGGGATTTGTTCCTCTCTTCATTATGAACACATTAAAAAAAAGTCATCTCAATCGGAATTAAAACGAAGAAGTTATGATATTTTTAAGATTGAAATTGAAGAGAGAAAAAGTAGAATCTGGAACTATTGGACTATTGACAACAATTCGGATTGCTAGAATTTGGGGGGGAGATGAATTCTAAAATTAACAATTTGAGTTGTCATTGAACCATTGTTAATGGTTTGAATTGTTCTTGAATTTTCCTCTCCCAAACACCAATTTGAATCATGTACTAAGATTTAAATCCTAAATAACAGTTTGAGTTGTTGAAACAAATAGGAGCAAAATGTTTGATTTGTGTTCTTGTTCACCATCACATTCCTGTAAAACTCCTCCAAAAATTTCAACAAATCTCCCTTTACAAACTCCCAGCATTTTTTATAAAAACCCATCGAGAAAGCATCTGGTCCCGGCGACTTCTCCCTATCACAAGACATTACTGCCTCTTTAATTCCCTTTTCCTCAAATGGTCTTTCATTCCAAGCTGCCTTCTCTGCTTCTATTTCATGCCAATCAATTCCTTCTAAATTCAACTGATTTGTATTCTCATCCTTGTAGAGACTATCAAAAAAAGAAACTACTTCCTCCACAATTCCATCAATACTGTCCACTTCCTCTCCATTATCCTTCTCAATTCACAATTCGACTCTTACTTCTCCGATTCCGAACTAAACTATGAAATAGCTTCGAGTTCAAATCTCCCTCTTTCACCCTCCTGGTTTTCATTCTTGGTCTCCAAGAAATCATCTCTTTAAAGATTTATTCCTCAAGTGAATTCCTCAAAGACCTCCACTCCACTTTTTCTCCCTCCGAGAGTCCTATGTTCTCCTCTCTTCTATCCAGCTGGTCTATTTTCGCTACAATCTCATTTTTCATCAATCTTGTATCTCCAAAGACTTTTTTATTCCAAACTTTTATTAACCTGTTAACCTTTTCAGCTTCCCAGTAAACTCGTATCCTTTTCCCACCCTCCCAATTTCAAATCCGCCCATTTTTCTCGAAAGAATTCTAGAAACCTCGGATGATTAACCACATGTACGCAAACCTAAATGGACTACGCCCCCAATCAACCGGATTAGTGTCTAAAATCAGTGGGAAATGATCTGATGTCATTCCACTTCCCTCTATCCGCCACACACTTTGAAAGTCCGCCTCCCAATCTGGCGAAAACAAAAACCTAACTAATCTACTCTTCACCTCCATATCTCTGAAATTGCTCCATATGAATTTTGCATTGGCTAGTGTTATATCTCCCAAGTCTCCCTCTCGGATGAAGTTATCAAAAGTCCTCATACTTTTTCTATCTCTGGAGCACGGTGATCTCTCATGTGAGAATCTTATCACATTTAAATCCCCTCCCAAAACCACTTATTTCCACAGATCACTTGAAGACCAGCCAACTCCTCCCACAGTCACTTTCTATCCTTGTATGGAGCTTTTCCATAAACACCCGATAGCCACCAAAAATCTTCCCCTCTCTGGATTTTAATTGAAACTGAGAAAGACCCTACTAAAGTATCCATTAATCTGATTGATCTAACATCCCATAACACTAAAATCCCCCCCGATCTGCCCTCTGATGGTAAACTAACCGAATTTATAAATCTCCTCTTCCAAAGACTCCCTACAACCCTATCCTCCAACAATTTGTTTCCTGTAAAACTACCATATCTGGATTTATCTTTGTCAAATTCTCTTTAATCATACTTCTCTTTCTCCTCGACCCCAAACCTCTTACATTCCATGAGACCATAATCATTTTAACATTTTACCTACCAGCTCACTCTTCTTTCCACTTTTGGTCTCATACTTCATACCCCATTCCAAAACTGTTAATGGATCTTCTCGGAATTACACTGAAAATATTACTATTCTAAAGTTAGTAAACACTAAAACGTGAATGGGGTTTTGTTCCATTACAAGTAAACATAAAAAATGGAATTAATGATCTTTTATTCTTATTTACAATTTGGCCTTAAATTGTCGAATGATGGTTCTCCAACAAACAAACAAACAGAGAATGATAATAGCAATATTTACTTTCGGAGTTTGGTATTGAGTGCTAATCACAACAAAAATAGCTTGCAAGTAAAAAAGCAGTAAAGTACCTTCGTCAAGCACAATCTCCACATTCAATCTCTGGAACACATCAGACTCGGCGAACTTCTCGGCGCCACCATGGCCGCCAATCTCCTCGTCAGGAACGAACGAGAGATAAACGGAGCGAATAGGGCGGAACCCCGAGGCCTTAAGGCGGCGAATGGCCTCCAAGTACTGCAAACCGACGCACTTCATGTCCTGGGAGCCCCGGGCGTAGACGTTGCCGCGGGAATCGAGGTGGGCGGAGAACGGGGGGTGGGTCCACTTCTCGGGCTCGGCGGGGACGACGTCGGTGTGGGAGTTGAGGAGGATGGAGGCGAGAGAAGGGTCGGAGCCGGGCCATTTGAGGAGGACGAGAGGCTTTCCGTTGACGAACTCGAGAGTTTGGGATTCGAGAGAGAGGGATTTGGCCTGTGCGAGGATGAAATCGGCGGCTTCGGCATAGTCGGGGCTGGGTTGGGCGGTGTTGATTCGGAGGTATTGTTGGAACCTTGATATGATCGCTTCTGGGTTTTCTTCTTCTTCTACGGCTAGTGATAGTTGTGATGAGAAAAGTACAGAGGAGAAGATTAAGCAGAGAAGAAGAAGAGTGGAGCGGAGCTTCATTTTTGTTCTTTCGCGGATTGAGAATTTGAGAGAGATATGATATGCCTACGGAGGCTGCTGACACTGTAAAGCTAAGATGTGAGTATGACACACTCTTGTTGACGAACTGAAGCAAGAGATTAACTTGAGGGAAAATTAAAGATAGTTTATAAAGTAAAATAATAATAAGAAATAAATTAAACTTGTAATATCACTTAATAAGACATCATATTATTATTGTTCGTGACAAGTTTTCATATTTTAAAATGTTGCAAATTAACACTATTATCAATATTATTGAAAACATAGTATAAGGGAAAGAATGTTAGGAGTAATTAGTAAAATAAACATAAAGAAAAAGTGAAGTAAAGTAAAGCTGTAGGAATAAACAAAAAAGTCATTTGCGGGGGCATTTATATTTAGTTAAAAAAAAAACCTTATATAAAGTCCCCGCGAACTAGAAAATTCTCTAATGGCATGTATATATCTTGTATGTTCACGTGCTCCAACTACCTAATTACATGTACTTGGGTATATATAACTTTTTCTATACTGGTATGTAACCTCATTTTTTGCATGTATAACACTATTTCTTTAAGTGTAATGTAAAATATATAGTCTAACACATGTAAATTGAGTACTACAATGAACAATGTTATACAGAAATATATAAAAAAAAAATTACATGTACTGAACTTGTATGACTGTCGGACTTCAAAGTTTACCAAAATCTTTTTTCTATTTTTTTGAATAAATATATGAATAGTCCACTTCTTTTCTCTCTCTCTAAAAGTAATTCTTGTAATCAATTTTATTATGTAAATTTTTGATTGGCTGATATCTTTTTTTTCCCTTCTTATTAACATTTATATTGCATTATTTAGCTACTTATAAAATCTCTCTCATGCGAAATCAGTTAAACAGTTATCTTTTCGTATGTCTTAACCTGTACAAACATACCTCAATACTTTATTTATCCTATATTACAATCTCCATATACTTAAAAAAAAAAAAAAATCAATCCTTCCTATTGAACTTATTATTTTAATTCACCAATTCTTTTCTATTTGATTTTATGTAACAACCCAACTTCTCAAACTTTCTTTACTATAATTTATGCGGAAAAATCTAATTTATATTTTAAAAATTCATTTCTTTAAGTACTAAACGAGTGTGAGATCCGCGCGTTGCCGCGGAATGTAGTATAACGCAATGGCAGTTGTAATGAAAATACATTAATATATATACATATATTATATAGTATTGTATTATATGATAAATATAAAATTTGTATAAACATATTTATACAGACATATATAGTATTTTTTTTAATATTTATATATATACATAATGTACAGGATAAAGAACGATGTCGTTATTGTTCCTGAGTAGTTCATTTTTATTAGCTGCAAGTATTAGAAAGGGAAAAAAGAGTTGTAAATATAAGCACTAATAGAAATAAAGGCGTTTAAAATATAAATTATGAAATAAATAGTATAAAAATATTTATAATACCTTGTTCTTGGGCGTTTTGTAGATTGTCTTGTTGTTCTTGATTCAGGACTGGAAAAATGGAATAATCTGTAGCTATGTTTTTAAATAAATTGATAATATTTGTTAGGTTGAATGTGGTTTACCTTGTGGCAGGTTTTTTTGGTGTTGGAGTGTGTGGATCAAGTCTGGTTGGTGTCGATAGTTGTGATGATGGTATTGCCTGCGGGCTGAAAGACGAAAACATTTTTAAAACTGTGGTTAATATAATATCAATGTTATTTATGTATAGTTGGTAAAAAAATTTTGAAAGCATTATTTACCTTTGTGGTTCGTCTGTTCCTGCAGTTAACTGTTTTGGTGGCGATGGTGGAATATGAATGTCTTCAAATATTTTAGAAATTAAAGTACTCATCTGGGTGCCACATTGTTGAAAGAAGAGTTGGAAGATTTTTGATTGTCCTCGGATCTGATCGATAGCTGGTGGTATTATAAATGGATCAGTAAAGCCTTCATCAATTGTTAGGGATGTTGGAAAATTTACTATGGTCGCTCTTACAGTGAATTTTTCACCCTGCATAAAATATATAATTTTGTGGTTTTAAAATGTTGAATAAATGTAGTAAAAAATTAATAAAAAAATTAATAGTACTAACCAGATTATTTTGTGCATCCAATGTTTTAAGTTCGTCTATTGTTCTTCTATTTGCTGACATTTGTTCTTCAATTATTTGGATGGGCGTTTTTAGTGGTGGTAGGAATTCAATTTGTTGATATTGGTGGGAAAATCTGTATATATGAAAATACGAATAGCTTAAGGAGGATATAAATAAAATGTATAAATATCTAATATCATAAATTTATCAGAATATATTTTTTATTACATATGTGTTTACCTTGTCTTTAACGTTGTTATTTCTGGGATGTCTGGATCAATATAGAAGATTGTTGCTGATGTACTCGAAACATATGAGTTACCTTGAAATATAATAGAGTAAATAATAAATGTATGCAATGTTTTTTTATATATGTATGTAAAAATGTTGTAATAAAGTATTGGTAAAAATACCTAGATACTGCTTTGTTAACATTGCTGAGAAAACTGCCACAACTGGTGCCTTCATTGTTTTGACCACATTTTCATCAAATTGATCCGCTTTATGTCCCCATAGGCTGACCGATAGTTGTTCATTTTTGTAAAGAAAATGTTGTTTATAAAAATGAGTAATAAAATTGAATGATAAAAGAGGAAAAATACTATATTCATGTCAAATGGTTGTAATCAATAGTAAATGTCAGGGGAAAAAGTTTAAAATTACTATACCTGATGTTTTGTATTGTTATGGATCGCCGCGTTGTTGGTCTGGTGGTGACATGTGTATGTTCAAGTGCCTTAACATCTACTATTATATATGAACAGGGAAATTTTGTAAATAAATATTAAAAGAATATTTATAATAATAATAAAGTAAGTTAAGCAAAATATATTACCTGTTAATATCTCAGTATTATTTATTCTTTGATATAGCTGGTCGAATTCTATGAAATAGAATCTGTGAAATGGGATGTGTGGTGCGTCTTTCATAATTGGAGTAAAGGATGTTGCTCGTGCAAATTGGATCGTAGCATTGTATGGAACAACTTTGTATACTGGTTTATTTTCAGTAACATAGAAGTTACTAATATTGTATATATTGCCTTGTTCAATTTTTTTGGAAATATAGTCCGAATCTCGTGCTCGAATTGTTCCCTGTATTGCTTCATGCTGTAAATAAATAATAAGAATAGGAATTTAATCAATATTAACAAATGTTATATAAAAGAAAATGTAATATAATATTTTAAAATTTTAGTACCTCTTCATCAACCAGGATACAGTCAAGACTTATCAGGCGTCCTGTGACAAAATCGTTGTTTGTCCATATTCTGCAAACTCGTGCCTGTATTGTTTCATACACTTCATTTGGTTTTAGTGCACGAATAGGTGTAGTCATTTTTTTTTAACCCTGAAAAAAGCAAATAAGATGTTGTTATAACGATAAATATTTTTATTGAGTTTATTGTTAAAAATATTGGACTAAAAAAATTTTAATATTATGAAGAATACAAAATGGTATATATTTTGTATGTATTTATTTATATGATGTTATGTAGGATTTCTTTGTAGACAATATTTTTTATATGATTAGGATAGTTGTTGTTTGAATCATTGAGTAATATATATAATCCTTTTGGATTAGTAACTCTAGATAAAGCAACATATAACTGACCATGGCTAAATATTTGATTATCTAAAAATAGTCCAACTTTATTCAAAGATTGTCCCTGACTTTTATTTATTGTCATAGCGTAACATATTTTTACAGAGAATTGGCGTCTTTTTAAAGTAAATGGCCATTTTGATTCATGTACAGTCATTTCTATTCTTGGAATATAAACTTTTTCGAAAATATTATTTGAAGTTATGATCTATCAATCGATTACTTTATTTGTTAATTGTGTTATGATAAGCCTTATTCCATTGCAAAGTCCAGCATATTGATTTAGATTTCTTAGAAGCATTATTGGAGTTCCAAGTTTAAGATTCAGTTCGTGTGGTGGTAAACCGTTGAAATTTAAATTGTGTAAAAATTCTTGAGGATATAAGAGATTTAGTTCTTCTATATTTTCTGACGAATGTAGTATTGTATCATAACTATAATAAGTTTTTACCTCGTTAGGTACTAAGGATAATATATAATTATTTATATCGTCAGCAGTTTTATTTTTCGGTGTTACAATCACGCGCTGTTTTAGGTACTCAATGTTATTAAAACTGTTGCTGAAATCATCGTATATCAATGTTGTTATTTTGTCAATTAGATTTAGGTCAAAATGAACAAAGTATTTTTCTGGTATTTTTATCCATGTAATATCCTCATTTTCTAAATCTTTTATTCCTTCGGCAATACCATTTCCTATGTCTAATGTCCATTTTGAAAAGTTTTCAATCTCCTTTTTTTCTTCTGATGTTGTATTATAATGTTTTAATCGCATATTTTCTGTTAATGTTAAAACCTGAAAGTGTGGCCATAAATAAGAATTATTGATGCATGCATCTATTATGTGTTCTTTTGTTCCTGTGGGTAAAACAGGTAGGATTTGTCGAAAATCACCGCCTAGAATAACTGTCATTCCACCAAATGGTTGATCAAAATTGTTTCGTAAGTCCTGCAGTGTCTTATCTAATGCCTCAAAATAATATTTATTAGTCATAGGTGCTTCATCCCATAAAATTAATGATGTTTTTTCAATTAAATGTGCTAATTGAGTTCCTTTTTTTATATGACATGTTAAAAATTTATCTATTGATAGTGGTATTCGGAATCTAGAATGTGCAGTTCTTCCTTTAGGCAATAATAGTGATGTTATTCCTGAAGATACGACAGCTAAAATAATTTCATTATTAGATCTAATTTTTGTTATAATTGTATTCCACAAATATGTCTTTCCAGTTCCTCCATGACCATAAATAAAGAATAAGTTATTTTATTTATCAGTAACAGATTCTAAAATTTTATGGTAAATAATTAGCTGTTCATTGTTTAACTTTTCTACTAATAAAGAATTTTCTTTTTCCAATTTATTTATATCATAATTAAGTTCTTCTCTTAAAAGTTTAT